ACATCTTATTTTATTCAAAGACCTTGTTTTAAGCTCAGTCAACCACATAATTTCAATCGAATAATCATTAAATTATATATAGACATATATATGCTAACATTAAAATATCATAAATTGTTTTATGACACGTTCTTTCATGTTTGTCTCACATAAATATGATATAATGGAAAAAATTTTTGCTTGCAAATGACAAATCCATACATAGATCGAAATAACAAAATGTTCTATACACTTGTCAATCTTTTTTCTTATGCCGATCCTGAGTAAGTATATTCCATATAAAAATAAGAAAAGTTTTCAAAAAAAAAAACCGAAATCTTTTATCATTCATTATAATAAAATATGATTTTTATTTTATTTTTTTTTTCAATAATTTAGAGAACGTTTTAACGACTTGCAAACAAAATTACAAGAACTTGACGTTCTTCATCAATCACCAAACGAATTTTTTCGTACAACAACTCCATCATCACGTGATAGTGGTGTTCCAATTCGATCATCATCATCGTGTTGTTCATTAACATCAGAAAGTACAAGTACACCAAAAAGTTCTCTTGAATTTCCATTTGATCGATTAACATCACAATCTCCACAAACAAGTGTTCTACATTTTTTTCTTCATCCACCAATTGATTATAATCATCGTCACGTTAGTGTTCATTTAGACGAAGAATCTACAGATATGTCTTATGTTCATGATACTATTCCACGTCATCAATCACATGGACGTAGTGTTCATTGGAATGATGAACAATCATCTCTTTCTCCTTCACGTCGTTCAACAAGCCAACATATATTACAACAAGAAAATCAACATTATTATAAATCTGATACAAATATTATAAAAAAACATGGTCAACGAATATCACTTAATGCTAGTTTACCATATGATTCTAAGTTGAATATTCGTATTCATGCTGATCGAACACGTGATGATAATAATAATAATAATAATATCAATAATATTAATCAAGTTAAAACAACAGCTACTATTGAACCATTAAATAATATTCAACATGAACAAGAACATTTTGATACATTACGAAGAAATTATCTTGAACATTATTCAACAGCATCACCTAATGAAAGTTTAATAACAACAACAACAACAAGAACAAATTCACCAATACAACAACGAGAATCACGACGTGATCAATTACCACGTCATCGTCAAGTTTCATTACCCGTTTCATTACCAATTGATCAACGACTTTACTTATATATTCGAAATGGTGAAGTTCTTGCTAGATGTTAGACATTTAATACATTCTTAGAGCATACTAAAACTAGTAATTTTGATAGATTAAACCCTACAGGAAAGTATTAATCAAGTATATGAACTAGTATTCATGCTTAATCACGCATAATCAATTTGTTGTAAGTATTTTTCAAATAGTCTTTGATTAAACAATTCATCATCTTGATTACGACATTCCAAGTTATGATTAGGGAAGCGTTTGATTGATGAAATTTATAAATTAGATCAAGCACCTGAAAAATACGCTGTACCCTATCTAAAGAATAAGGTGAGCATAAAATAATTATGATACGTTCTGATATAGAACATTCAAAGTATCTTTATGAATCTATTGTCGAATGTTTTCATAAAGTCTTTCGATGTCTTGAGTGCTAGCCGATGATCTTTGTTTTCTCATTCCATTAACAAGTAGTTTTAGAGAATTAGTGATTAGAAGCCTCTCTTTTTTTTACAGCTGCCAGTTCATTTTTTTTTTGAAGAGTATTTGACTAGTTGCTTTTTGAAAAGACACGAAACATTGTTTTGAGACTAAACTACTGCGCCAAACTGTAGCTGATAGAGATTGTTCTATTGCAATTCGAAGAATCTGAGTCGATTTATATGTGACATAACTAGAATTTGTCATCTACTATCCCTACATATATTCGCTGTATTTCTTTAGTCAGTCATATTCAATAAAATTTGATTTATCGAAATAATAGCTCATCGTTATGGTGCATTTTTTAATAAAAGATTATTTGAAAAATATTTTCAACAAATCGATTAGGTATAATTAATCATGATTACTAGCTCAAATATTTGCTGGAACAAAAATTTGTTTAACTCTTTCCTGTTGGATTTTATCTGCTAAAACTACTAATTTT